CCTGCTGATTAAAAAAACATCCACAACAAGCAAAGGCAAACAACATAAAAGAAAATCTCCACTCCATCGTTGCTATTTTCCATTCCAACCGAACTTAAGCTTAGGGTTTTGTCTAATTTTTGACTCATTATTGACTAAGGCCGTTTGAGTAACAACATAAAGTTCCGGGCAATCAACTCCTCTTTTAAAATTTCTAACAAAAAAAAAACTTTTAAAAATAATTTCAGCTAGTCTTATGCAGTAAAATATACATTCAGCATATGGTGTAAAAACAAAATATATATATATATATATATATATATTCGTTTAGTAATGCCCCATGTGTACAAGTTGAGTTGGTTTTTTTATTTTATTATTATTATGGATAGGATTTGGTAGGTACAGCGCTTGAACTGATTTTTAAGCTGCTATTGAGATGAATAATTTTTTTTTTTTTTTCCCCCCGAAAGAAAAATATAGGAACAAAATAGTATTTAGTTAAAATATAGGGGTAAATTTTGGGATTTTCTAGTGGAAAGGAAGGAGGAGAGAAAATGGCAGCAGCGAACCTTTTGAAAGGAAGCGGCGGCGTTGGAGTGTTGCTCTGCTCCTCCTCCGCCTCCTCCTCGCTCGGCCTCCGCAGAATGAGATTGTCTTCTCTCGCTTCTCAATCTGAATCTCATTATAATTATAGTTATATTTATAATTATCAGAAGCTAATTCCGACTTCACATGACTCATTATCATTGTCATTATCTACAAGAATAGGAGTAAGAGGAAGCAGAAGCAGAAGGTTTTGTAATAGCAGCGCCACCGCCGAAACCGAAAACGCAACCGCGGCGGAAGAAGACAAAGCAAGAGTAATAAAAGAGACGGCGGATTTGCTGGACATTAGGGTTGGGCGTATCCTGAAGGCGCGGAGGCTGCTATTTGAGATAAAAAATTTTTTTTTTTTTTTTCCCCCCGAAAGAAAAATATAGGAACAAAATAGTATTTAGTTAAAATATAGGGGTAAATTTTGGGATTTTCTAGTGGAAAGGAAGGAGGAGAGAAAATGGCAGCAGCGAACCTTTTGAAAGGAAGCGGCGGCGTTGGAGTGTTGCTCTGCTCCTCCTCCGCCTCCTCCTCGCTCGGCCTCCGCAGAATGAGATTGTCTTCTCTCGCTTCTCAATCTGAATCTCATTATAATTATAGTTATATTTATAATTATCAGAAGCTAATTCCGACTTCACATGACTCATTATCATTGTCATTATCTACAAGAATAGGAGTAAGAGGAAGCAGAAGCAGAAGGTTTTGTAATAGCAGCGCCACCGCCGAAACCGAAAACGCAACCGCGGCGGAAGAAGACAAAGCAAGAGTAATAAAAGAGACGGCGGATTTGCTGGACATTAGGGTTGGGCGTATCCTGAAGGCGCGGAGGCACGAGGAGGCCGATTCCCTTTACGTCGAGGAGGTCGATGTCGGAGAGCCTCAGCCCCGCATCATCTGCAGCGGCCTCGTCAATTACATTCCTCTCCACCTCCTTCAGGTTTGTTGTTCTTTTGTTCTTCTTGTTCATTTATATATGTATATATTACTGGTCTTCTTTGATTGGATTGGCTTGGATTCGACAACCATCATCCAGGACGCACGAGTGGTGGTGCTGGCAAATCTGAAGCCGAGGAACATGCGCGGCGTCAAGTCGTACGGAATGCTAATGGCGGCTTCCGACACTTGCCATTCGAATGTGGAGCTTCTTGTTCCTCCCGAGGGTTCCATTCCTGGTGATCGGATCTGGTTCGGCTCCGAAGGTGAAGGTGAAGGCGAAGCTGAACACCAACCTCCTCCCCCGGCCTCCCCAAATCAGGTATAATTAATTCTACTCTCTCTCTCTCTCTCTCTCTCTCTCTCTCTAAATAGCGTAATCAAATGAGCACGTGATATGTCTAAACCCCTATATATAGAGGAGTTGTAGCGACTTCAATGCAGGAGTTGGTCTTGAGTCTTTAGACTTGTTTTTGTTTTGTCACATATGAATTTCAAATTTCTATATTCATTCTTGAGCTTGGACTTTAACGTTCCTTTGCTTTGTTGGTTTCTTTTTCAACTTACAAGTTACAAGAATGAATGTACGTTAACTTACATGGTAATCAAATGCAGATCCAGAAGAAAAAGATATGGGAAGCAGTACAACCACATCTTAAGACGAACGATTCATGCGTTGCTACGCTGCTTGGGGAGCATGTGATGCGGGCATCTGCTGGTCTCGTCTTCTCTACATCCTTAAAGAATGCTAATATCTCCTGATTTTATTTTTTGGCTTTGTTTTGTTATCTTTATCGATCTCACATTTTCGTTTTTGTTTTTGTTTTCATTTTCATTTTCAAAGGGCTGGTGTTATGATACTTATTATTCACCAACATCCATATTTCAATCACATGTAATGTATGATGTGTTCCTATTACCTGGCGTATTTGATTGAAAGAGTTACAAGGCATGTTTTTCATACTCGGGAGGGAGGATGGACGATAAAGCTAAATGTTCGTCGTCAATTTGAGTTGCATTAAGCAAATTTGGTTGGCCTATATGACATCTCAGCAGCCCCTTAGGATGCTGCGCTTTCTTATTAAGTACCAATCCTAATGTTTGATTGATTACGTGTATATAACTTTCGTTGTATATAGTTATAGGTGTTATACATATATATTGACCGAATCGAATACTAATACCATGATGTTTCTTAGATCTATCCAATCCGCCCATCTTTATGTTGGTATATTCAACTCTCGGACTCTTCGAATGCTTTTATTTTTCTGGTAAATTCCTCAATTCACTTTGAACAAATAGAAACGTGGCTGGCTGCTCTATATAACTGGGGTTAAAACTCGCATCCCATCCCAATGCTTTTATTTTTCTGGTAAATTCCAATGCTTTATGTTGGGCATTTGAATTTTGACCGCAGCCTTAGCCTTGGCCTTGGGAATGAATATCTCATAGGCTTCAAAATTATATACAAGAACCGTATACAAGAACCGTAAATTGTAACCATACATGTATGCCGGAGCTTATTCTGAAGGATTTTAATTTAATGATAAGAAGAAAAAAAGAAGAAACATGTTACTGGTATTTCTGAACACTTTTGAGTGAGTTACAAAAATTGTATGGAGAAAAAAAAGGGAAGAAAGCAATACTTACACGTATGTATAAGTTAAGTCTCCGACATTAGAAGGCATGAAAGCCAAGAACATAAGAAGGGCAAGAATGGCAATGGGAAGCAGAAGGAGCATGAAGGGAGGCGGGGGCAGCGGAGGCAGTATCAACGGGAGAAGGAGCAACGACGCCGTCAAACAGAGGAGCAATAGCAGCGACTCCAAGCTGAAATAGCTGACCCCCAACAATCTCCTGCTGCTTCCCAATTTCCCTTGTGAATGTGATAATGTCCTCTGGAAATCCATTCTTCTCCCTTCACCAACTATTCCTCCCATCTTCCTTCTTGTTGTCTTGTTGCCAATAACGCCACCCCCTTCCATCATAATGTAACTCCAACAGTTTTGCAAATTTAATATCCCTTTTGATGATGGTGATGATCTTCTTCTCCTTATCTCTTCTTCTGCTTCTCCACCACCAACTTCACTATTCATTTAGTTTTCCAAACCCACCCTAAAATTGGACCCTTTTGGTGATCCAAAAGCGCAATCTTTCTTCAACTTTCAAAAGTTTCTTCAACAAAACCGGGGGGGAATCTTTCCTCTCCTGATGTTGTTTCAAATTCCATGCACAAACAAACCATGATACAAGAACAAGAATTAGATCAGAATTCATCACATCATATTCTTCAACATAACAAGAACCACAAAAAAAAGAAAAAGAAAACATTTCCAATACAATGAGAAAACGCCATTAAATGAGTTTTAGGAATCGGAATAAAACAATTAATTACATAATAATCTTTTATATGCAGAAAGAGTCCATATCCACATCAGTAAAAGGGAAATTTAACATCACGAACTTATGTCTTACAATACAGGCAAAATCAAATCAAACCAAATGAAGGGAAGGGATAAAGGACAAGACTTATTGATGTAAAGCAATTATCAATGCCCGATGGAAGAAAACCAGAAGTTAAAGCATTGATCTGGAGATTAAAAGTGAAGAAGGGAGAAGAGAAATGAAAGTACCTGGTAATGTTGTTGTTGTTGTTGAATCAGGCGGTGATGAGATGAAGAAATCAAAATCTATTGTTTGTTGTAATTCCCTCAACTTATAGCGGCCTTCCCTCAACTTATAGCGGCCTCGGAAAATATGAAGATGATTCTATTAGTAATCTGTATTTGTATTTGTATTTTGATTTTGTCAAAAAAAAAAAAAAAAAAAAAAAAAAAAAGAGGGAGAAGGGAAAGTAAGAGAAGAGAAGACTGAAGAGGTGGTTGTTTTCTTTTTTCTTTTGATTGGAATTTTTGGTTGATGGGTTTTGGGTAGTTGCACTGTATTTGTACGATCATTACCATTTCTGATTTCTTTCTTTCTTAATTAAATATTAATATTAATATTATTGGAAGTAGAAGAGGAGTTAGGGGGGGTGGGTTCAGATTCAGTGAATTCCAAGATCAACACCACAAGTGGGGCTGAGGCTGACAAATTAATCCAATTTGCTGAAAATTCTGAATGCTGATTTTGTATTTAAAAAAGAGAGAGAGAGAGAGATGTAGAGGGGCAACACAACAGGCAGTGTGTCTCCCAAGGTTCTTCTCCCCTGGTCACTCTTTCTTTCTTTCTTTCTTTCTTTCTTTTCTGCCTCCTTTTTCTTTTTCTTTTTTCTTTTTCTTTTTTCTTTTTCTTACGTCTCAAAAATTAAGACAGTAATAATTATAATAGAGAGGCATGAGGGCCCATTTGCAAATCTAACATCCATTGGAATCATTCCACGCTATTATTCCCTTAATTTAATTCAAGTTGTATCGTTCTCTATTATTGACCCGGTTTCTAGATTATTACTTGAATTTAAAACGTAAACAAGGGTTTTTGAGGACAGGTAGGTGATGAGCAAATAGAATTATAGAAATAAATAGGGGTAAAATGGTAAAAAAGGGTGTCAGATGCAGCATATGGGCTTTGTTTCAAAAATATCTTTTCATTCAATGCATCTCTCTGGTCTTTCTTTCCCCCACCGCGCCGCGCTTTCTTTTTATTTATTTTTATTTTTATTTTTATTTGTATAATAAGAAATAAGAAATGCCTCCCTCCATCACCATATGCTGAATTCAACCTTGAAATTTGAATTCTTTCCTTTCCTCGTACCTCCCAAATCCCACTCCACTCTTTCTTAGTATTTCATTCCTTTCTTTCTTATTGCTTATAAATTCTGCGTTTGCCACTTTCCTCGCTTTATCTATTCACGACATAATTAAAAAGAATATATGCATGTGTATCACTTGAACACTTTAGGGCCGTTTCCATTTTACTCCTAAATTTAAAAATTATCAGTCCATATTGTATAATCTAAACTTTAATTTTGCTACATTGAACATCCTGTGTCTCATTTTTCGTAATATATATATATATATATATGCGCGCTCTCACGTGCTAGTTTATAGTAAATACCATAAAATTTATATACTAGTTATTAAGTTCTTAAACTATGTATATGTGAAATGTTCATATATAGAAGATCTAATTTCAAAGGGTATAGTATAAACCATTGGTTCACTACAGGTAAATAAAGTTGGACACTTCATTTTGATAAGATTATAATGTTGTTTATTTCTATTACGAATAGAATGATCTAATTTGAATCCTAGTCTTAACATTACTAGATAAAGAACCATTGCATTTAGAATACATTTAACTGAGACCCCAGTAGAATTACAATTCTTTTATAATCCCCCTATAAAGACTAGATCTTATTATTATTCCTCATTTACTCTTTAATCTCGACTGATTAATGACTCACATCCATTTATTAAGTCTTTTGATTAACCAATTAATAAGTGGGATTAAAGTTAATTCATCAAAAGATTGGTGAGTTAGAGTCGTAATATTATGGATACTAATGGTTTCCGAACAATTTCGGATGCGAAAGCTTATTGGTACAGATTGTGTATAACAAAAAATTTCATAAAATCTTTTGATACACTATTTTCTCTATTTTCAAGATAAAACAATAGAAAATAGTTATCACTTATATTTTAAATCTCATTTAAAATATAATTTCTCATTTAATTTTGAAACAAAGTTATTTTATCTTTTTCTCCTTATACAAAAATCAGCCCCCACAGAGATTTATCTCTTGTGGGTGGCGTCCTACATAGTATAGGAGAAGGAGAAGTTTTATCCTTTATCATGTTTTTAATTTTGACTCAAATTTAAATTTACGTAAAGCCAAATTTTAATTTCTATTTGAATTCAATTGGATAACTTGATAAACAACTAAACCGAATAACTTAGATAATAAGCAATTGAATCCCAGATAGATTCCTCCTTGTGCCACACGCTCCTTGCACCTCCCTCTGCTATTGTCCACTTTGAGCCCGATGCCACATAGATTTGCTTTTGGGCTTCACTCTAAAAAGCCGCGTACTATTGCGAGGTGGTGTCTTTCTTTATAATGACCTATGAATATACTCAGGCAATGTGAGACTGCATAACTTATCATTTTTTCTTTTTAGATCTCTTGCCTTAAGGGATTGATGATTGTCACAATTACCCCACCTTTTGAGGGCCTAACGTCCTTTTGGTCACACTTTCTGACTAAGTACAGGCTCTAATATCATTTGTAATGATCCACAACTCTACTTTGTATGATATTTGTCCGTTTTGGGCTCGAGTCCGCACATATTTGGAAATAACGTGAGCAAACTCATGTTTTTGCACATTTAAAATTGAAGTCAAAGGCCTTAAAAAGCTAAGGTTGACTAACTTGTTTAGAAAATAAAATCAATCTCGTACATAACACATGGATCATGGATGGGGAGATGCCTAAGCCCTATGGAGTCAAATGTGATGTTCCGAGGAGGCTCTTGACTCTTTAGCCAGCAGCACACCTCTATTCACTCCGATTGAAATAAAATAAAATAAAATAATTAATATTACAATTCCATCTCTAATTCATGGTGGTCTTTAGTCTTTTTATTAATGTAAATGTATTCACGACCACTTAAACATAAACATTGAAATGAAACAAAACCTCAATTTCAGAAAATAATCAGAAAATCTCATCTCTTAACTCACATCGTTAGTTTTTTTTTTTTTTTTTTTTTTTCGAGTGAGGGGACAGTTGTCTAGATTTCTCATCAAGTTTTCAAACCAGGTATTATTCGACAGGCATATTTGCTATCCACAATCGTTACTTGGTAAGAAGTAGCAAATGGCATAGTTTTAAATCTTAATGAAAAGTGAATAGCATATTTTACTACTATAAATAAATTAACATAAATTTCGTTAATAAATATTTATTTGATAAGTTCCTTATCTACAGCCAACAATTCATCAGATAATACGGATTTATACATTAGATAAACAAAATATTTATTTGATTTATACATTAGTTGTAAATTTTTTTTAAAAGCATGTTTTTTCAGTTTTTTTATTGGTTTTTGTAACATTTAATTAAAATTTAATGATTTCAGTTAATACTTACCACGTCAACAATATTCCGTTAGCATTATAAATAAAATTAGATTGAAAAGACATTTTAATTGATTTTATATAAACTAAGAAGTGTTTTAAACCGTTTTAAAAAAATCAGAGAGTACATACTTCGTTTTAAAAAATCAGAGAATACACACTTCGGAGTTGGGACAGCATTTATGAAAAAAACCGGTCATCTACTAGTGTCTGTGGGGGATTATGGGAGTTGACCTAGCAACAGAACAGTCACCTGCATTAGGCCTCACAACTGGGCCCAAACCCTCCATCCGGGCTCGTGCTTCATAGAGACCCGTGGAGGCTAAAGCAAAGCCCATATTAAACTTGACAACGATGGTCACAGTAGGGACCACCAATGTATTAGGGGATTTTATTATTATTATTATTATTATTTTTTTTTTTTGTTCCCTCCCAAAGCAATTTGCAAACATGAGATGAAAAATGGGCACTCACTCGGCAGTCGGCACTCAGCAAGAGATTAGTTTTCTGAGCACCAAACACACAGATTAAATTCACATTTGTTTATCCAACACCAACACCAGCAAGTGGAACAACGGGAATGCTTCAATAAAAGGTCCACCACATACACCAGCCAGCCAAGGTTAAATAACTCGAGTATAGCCTAACACAACAGTAATACTAATACCATACGTATTAATATATGATATGAATATGATAGCAGTCTCTTAACATCACAACAACAGAAGAAGAAGAAGAAGAAGAAGAAGAAGAAGACCAACAGCATATGCCCTAATATTTGTACTAGTCTAGTGGGTACGTAAATAATGATAACATTGATTACGCTGCCTATATCTCTCAGCAACTGATGAAAACACACACTCGATAGAAAATGTTTTACATAAATATGTAAAAGACACCAAGTCCCATTGGTCATAAAGTAGTTTTTTTTTTAAAAAAACAAAAACATTCTTAAAAGGATTTTAGAACACTACCATGCCATCTGCAATAAGTAAGTGCCTTTGTCCATTATTTGCCACATAAAAGAAGACTAACACCCACACTGACAAACAGACAACGCCAGTCCGATCACCGCCCAATTCCCTCTCTACTCCTGCACATATGATTGTAACAAACAAATTTCACAACCTTGTTAATTTTTATCGCAATGTAATCCTATTCCTCTCTCTACCACGAACCTTCAACCCTCTTTTTTACATCTGCAACTAAGCGACTTTGCGTTCTTCCAAACAGAAACAAGGGTTGTTAATGAAAGTGATGCAGATTAGGAGATACTTATCTTTAGTATGTTTTAGCTTCGGCTTGATTAAGACTATTTATGTTTGGTTACGTTTATCTTATTATTATGTTTTATTTCTCAGTCTCTATAAATAGGTCTCGTGATTGTATTTCTCAATTTTGAACTTGGTTGATAAATGAATACTCTTTCTACCAATTTCGTCCTCTTGAGTTTCCTTGGTTGGTTCCACATCTTGAGGTTCTAACTAGTCTATACACATGGATGATGAGGTTCTAGCTACTTCCACGTCAGAGATGGATAGTGTCTAACATTATCAATCAACTACAACTTTAACAAAGCATCTAATGACGGATTAAAATAAAAATATTGAAATAAATTAGGCAATCAAAAACTTGAAAGGGAAAAAAAAAAAAAAGAAAAAGAAATGGAAGGAGCAAGGAGAAAACTTGAGAGAGTTCCCGTGTGTGTGTGTACCTCATCGTCGTCGTCGTCATTACCGTCTCCTTTGTTCTTCTTAAGACGAGTGGTTCCACCCTCCTTGGAGATGGGCAACTTCATTGCTCCAAAGGGTGTGTCCACATTGATGTTTCCTTTGATAGAGTAACCTGTACCCTTTCCTCTCATCATGTCCCAGAGCGCGGAGCCCAAGTCCTTGGGCCTGAATGTGATGGGAACCTCAATGTTACTGATTCCGGTCTTTTCAATTTTAGCGGACTTGGAAAGCTCTGCACCTCCAATGCTGACATCACAGAGCCAAACCTCATAGTCTAGTGCATTGAGAAACAGGTCAAAGTCATTTTTGTTCTCCAATTTCAAGTGGAGCACCGCAACTGTCTCTTCAAAAGAGAATGTCTCAAACTTTATCTTCTCAATATCAATATCAGGCTTGTAAGGTATGGGGATCTCTCCGGTCTTCTCAAGTGGCAAAGTCAGCCTTCCGAAAACGGGCACATCAACAATGAGATCCACCTTAATCAGATAAGGAATAATGCTCCCAGGTTGAATATCATCGAACGTGTTCTTTATGTCGTCGAATATCAACTTGACCGGAATCTTGACAGTTTCCTCGCCGTGAGCGCGGATCGTGCCTGCATCTGGGATCAACCCCGAGATGAGTTTCCTTCCATCGCTCGCGATTAAATAGTCGATGTCAACGAGGGGGATGGGGACGGGATTTGGGTTCTTAATGAGGACGTCAACGACAAGTTCGGCCTTTTCAAGGCTGATATGGGGAATGTTAATAGTGGTTATATCAGCAGTGGGCTTGCCAAAGCCGATAGCGCCTTCAATCTTCTCGCCAATGTCGTGAATGAAATCCTTGACCTTGTCGAGAAATCCGCCCTTCCCCTCATCATCCTTTTCATCTTCCTTGTGATCTTTGCCCTTGTCCTTGACATCCCTATCATATACTTGTGCCTTATCATCGGAAGACGCCATGCCTTTAAGATTTCAACTCAAAAGCAAAGCAATATCAGTCTCAGAATGGGTCGTAAGTTGTTAAACACAAAAAACCAGGATACACAATCACATGTGATGGATTAGAGAATTAAAAGAAGAATACAAAGGACGGCATAAACGGATGAATAAATAAATAAGCAGACTAGATTGACAAAAGGACAGGCATCTCTCTCTTTTTCTTTTTTTTTCTTTTTTTTTTTTTTTTTGGTTAATGAATGTAATCTCATTTCATTTTCAGGAATGGGGTAACAGATTGACAAGAATGAAGATTAAAAAAACAGATAAAGAAAAATGCTTTGATCCAAAACGGGTATCATTTCCGATCTATCTGCTCAGTAATTAGATCCCCTCAAATTATTCGAAAGGATCAGATCAGAAATTCGCAATTCATCTAAAATATACGCAATACAGAAATTGGTAATTTTTTTTATCGAAAAACTAATAAAGAAAGAAGAGATAAGAGATACCTGGGTTGTGTTATGTAATTCTTACGGTAGGGCTCTTGTGTAGATTCAGACAGCTTTCAACTTTGTTTCCCCAGATCAGAATTCAGATGAGATCGGATGGACTTGTTTTTTCTCTTTCTTTTTGGCTTCCTTATTTATAGTTACAGTTACACACGACATATTATAGATAGATAGATCGATCGATTGTAATATAATATTTTATTTGTTTTTAAATTAATTAATGACAATGATCTCATCACCGACAAGCGTGGCCAAAGCGTCAACGTGAGATATTTTCGGCCATAAGTGGACCCGATCGATCCGACTTTCATATAATCAATTTATTTCAATAAATAATATTGGTATTTATTTGAGAGAAGTTGTATTATTTTATGACAAGGGAATATTGGTAATGGTATTATTATAATAATCTTGATGAGTTAAGGGTATGTGGGTAGGGTGCACAAGAGAAGAGAGAGCACGTAAACATGCTATGCTATTATTTATGTTGCGGTTTGGTCATAAAATATATAAAATAAAAAATAGATTAGATCAGCAGCGGCTGGTTTGAACCCCATCATGTGGGGCTTCAGGCTTCAAACTTCAAACTTCAAACTTCAAACTCTCTCTGTTTAAGCAAAAAGCAAAAAGCAAACAAGAATGGGATCCATAAATAATTATAAGACCAGGTAATACCCTCCCTCTCGTTTATCATATAATAAGGCAAACAAGAATCACTCACACTTCAATTCACAAACACAAGGATCTATACATATATCTATCTATCTATCTATCTATAATATGGGATGAGAGCTTTTATTGAAATTGAAATCTTCCCTTCTGCAACTACAACTTAAATTGGCTTTTTGTACTGCAGACGAAGGAAACTACAGTCCCCATCTGAAATTTCCTTGAAAAACTTACTACTAGTTAGTTACTACTTGCTGGGAATGAAAAAAGTGAGACAAAGAACAACTGCATATTTGATATTACATTACATTACATGAATGAACTAAAAAACCAAAAAAAAAAAAAACAAACTAGTATTACATATTTTTCCCAAAGTAAACGGTGTAATTGATCTTTTTTGAAAAGAGAGCTAACAAAATACACATCCCGACCATCTACAAGCAGAAACACCATATGCTGCTGCTGCTGGGGGTTCATTTCCTCGTATGCTAGGCTACAACATGTCATGTCATGTCATGTCATGTAACCAAACACAATCCAACAGATTCAGAGGGTGCATATCATCTGATGCGAAAGCGTTGCGTCAGTGATTTCAAACTTGTTAGCATCCCAAGTCCCTCCCGACCCTACCCTCTGAGAATCCTTTTAATCTGTTTGAAAGCAGATACACACTCAACATTTCGGATCATATGATATGCCACTGAGAAGAACAATAACCATCAGTCTTTTGGTTGGCATTCTTATCAAACAAATATATAAATCTACCCAAAAAGCATGCTGAATCTGACTTAATTTATACCCGTTCCTTCAGAAACTTACCTCCTTTGTAATGTGACGTAGATGTTGGTAATATTAGCCGTTACTTGTAATCATCCAAGTGATCTTTCAGAATTCTTCTTAGATACTCTAGCTGCTCGAACCCACCTTCGAGTTCTTCCCACTACAACAAACAGGAAAGCAATTTCTTCGTCGTTAGGAAATGACTCCAAATATCTCGCCCAATACATATAATTGCAACAAAGTAGATTGCTAGATGAACCAAATACCAGACGAATAACACTACTATATTTTCAATTCCTTCATTCATGTAAGCATATGGTTATGAGGGAACTCACCTCCTGATGTGACAATGACACAAGTTTCCAACCGGCTGCAGATATGTAACGCCGTTTCACCACTGTATGCCCCAAAGGCGCCACTGCATAGAGCAAAAGAAACTAAATTAGATTGATTCCATTAATCATAAGCACTAGCAGATGCAATAATTAAAAAAAAAAAAAAAAAAAAAAAAAAAAAAAAAAAAAAAAAAAAGAAGAAACCCCACAAGTATTCCTGGAGAAATGCGTTGGACCATCGATCTCCAAAGCCACCTTCTTATCAACCAAAACGGCATCCAGAGTGTAGCCGTCCATGATATATTCTCTTTCCCATTCTAGGCCAGTGCTAATAAGAAGACGAGCAACCTCCTTCTGAAAAGATGAAGTAATTTTCTGATTGAACCTCTTAGTTTTCCCAGCACGGGCAATTTTCTCCTCAAGATCCCTCCCCAAAGACAACTGAAGATGTGGGTATTCAAGCTTCAAGCATTGGTTTACGAGTTGAATCTGAGAAGCAAACATTATATCCTCTCTATGCTGCTCCGAGATCCTTTGGTCCTCAAACTGGGTTGTTAGAGTCTTCCATACAAAGGAAAAGAAACTCCGGTCCAATTCACTGAAAACAGCATAAGACCAAGCTATACTTCCAAGCTGATCCCTCGTGAATCTGAGCACAGGATGAGAGCCCGAAACGTCGCCACTCCTATGAAATAATATTCCATTGTTGTCCTCGCCAATTTCTTCTTCCTTACTCAAGTTAAATCTGTCTTCGCTTAGAAGGCAGCATTTGAACTGGCTAGCATCATTGAACACGCTGTCTAGAGACCCCAACAAAGGCTCAGCAGGCTCAAACAAAGAAGCAAATGCCCACAACAACTGGGCAAGCTCCTGCTCTCGAAAAGTGTGAACAATCTCCGATGCCCTTTTTGACAAATGGGAAAAGAGAGCGGGAGCAGAATGCTTCATGGAAGCAAAAGCCCCTGCAACATTAGCCACATTCTGGGAATTGAAGTCCCCGACTTTGGTCAAGGCAACCTCGGCAACTCTCTCCATTTCGGACAAGTAAAGAAGGTGGCCCCCAATCTTGGACAAAGCCCAGGAGATATTGGAAAGGCCTTGAGGTGAGCATTCAGGCAAGAGGGTCATTGCTAGGCCCACGAGCATGGACATGTCTCTTTGGCGGGCGAAGGCCAACCTATGAGTTTCGAACAAGGAGAGTTTGTCCATGTTTTTAGCAATCCTATGAAGGGCAGTGGCAATGTTCAAGGGAGTGAGCGGTGAGGGGCTCAAGCCTTTCCCTACGGCCATCATGGTGTGCGAAACGAGCTCCAGAACTTGTTCAGGAGTCTGTGCTTCTATGATTGCTTTGTTGAGGTTGATCTCTTCTCTGCGATTTGTGGGCCCCGCGGCACCGGAGAGTTGGAATTGCGAAAGCTTGTGAACCAGCTCCTCCATGGTCTTCTCTTTCTTTTGTTCGAACATGCCTCCAGCAAACATGCTCACACGGCTGCCGTCAAACGCCTCCTCTTCTTCTTCTTCTTCTTCTTCTTTGGAGAACTCATCTTGTTGTTGGAGCTGCTTGTTTTTGTGTTCGTGTTTCTTGTTTTTCTTTCTCTTGTTGGTTTTGTTGGTGGAGGAAATCAAATACTGTTCTAAGCCTCTAGATTGAATGGACTTAAGGGCAATCTTCCGGGCTCGGACGCACCAATCCATGGCGTCGGTGTCATGGAGTAGGGGAGAGTGCCCCTTCATCTTCGTCTCCATCTTCTTCTTCTTGGGAGACTGGGAAGGCAAAGGGTCAAGCTCCTCAACAAGCTCCAATTCCCAGTTACTGGTATTACTATAATCACCATCATAATCAACAATTTGTCTAGCTAAAGTTAATCTCCTACTTCTTCTTCTTGCTGTGGTGGTGGTGGGGAAGGGGAAACTGAGATGATGGAGCCGCTTCTGAGTAAAATCAAAATTGTGCGATTACATTTGGATGGAAACTAATCACAAAAAGGCGCATTTGGAAATGGATTGGGCGTGTGTGTGTGTGTTAATTATCCAAATAACAAAACAAGAGGTAGTGTTCTGAAAAAAAAACCAAGTTTTTGAGGAGCACAAAACAAAAATCATTTTACTTTAGTAAAAACTTTAACAGACATACACCTTAGCAACCGAAAGAAAAACATAAAATCCATTCACTCATTCCATTCCAGAGAGAATAACAATAATTATATTGGGAGAAGATTGATAGTTGTTACCTTACAGATACAGAGAGTGGAAAGAGATTTATAATAATAATTAGGAGAAGTGAAGGAGATGGACCGACACGTGGTGAATGAGGCATTCATAGGGTTGGTCAGCAGCGGAGAATGAGATACCAATGAGACAGCCATCTGCAAACTCCAAATTAATCTTCGCCGCCGTGAAAAAGGAAGGAAGAAATCGAAAAAGCGAGAGAGGATTGAACGGACGACTGCCGAGGAAAGGAATCACGTTTCAAAATCCAAAATTGAAAATTGAAATTCGCCGTTTGTTTCAGAATTGAAAAATCTCAACTTTTGGTGAAATGCTGTGGCGCTGGCGCACAATCTCTCCAAAGGCTCTCAAGTTTAGTTTTAGTTGTTGATAAGAGACAAACATACCATGTTTTGCTGCCTCTCCCTCTCCTCTGCTTGTTTGCCGTCTCTTTGTTCCTATTCCTTCGGTCATGGGTAAACGACATGCTATAGATGTGGTTTTTTAGACCCAAAAACGTGTCGTTTATTTGAGTGAAGGTCCACATTTTCTTTTGTTCCTCACATGAAAAAGATCCACATGTTAAGTAGTGCTGTCTTTCTTTTCTTTCCTTTTTTTTTCTTTTTTGGAAAATTAAAGGTAGTGGTATTTAAATGCTCCTTAATTTTAAAATGCTCCTTAATTTTAAAGATCCATATTTTAAAATGCTCCTTAATTTTTTAAAGTAATTTAAAACACTCTAAATCTATAAAAAATCGTCCCTCTATAATTTCAACATATTGTTGATTTGGCACGTGATTAAAAGTTTATAAAAAGTATTTTAAAATATAAACCTTAATTATTAATAAAAAAACCAATTTCTTAATATAAAATGACACAAAAATTAAACAGAATTCAAAGATTAATGAAAAACACCTAAAATAAAAATAAAAACGGATCAAATTGACTAGAAATAACAAACACATAACCAGGTACATAGTCTTCCTCATTCCCAACCTTTTTCTTCTTCTTCACTGTTCACTGAAAGTAAATACCACAAATTAAACCACAATTTATCTTTCTTGATTAAACAGCTTGAATTTGTAGGTTCTTCAGTTGGTTATATTTGTGATTTCGGCGTAATAAATTGATTAGTAAAAAATTACCCTTCAATAGGAATACCGCAATAACTGAAAGAATCTAGTATAAAAAATAAGAGCAATTAAAGAGAGAGCTTTAGGATATTTGTGATAGTTATTGGAAAAATTGTAAGAGAGATTGAGAGAGTTTAGGTGAGAAAAATGTGTGGAGGATGGGGGTATTTATAGGGAAATTTTTGGGTTAAAAATTATTATTTTTTCCCTAAAATTCATATCCAACATCTACTTTTAATTTTCGGTGGGTCGGGTTCGGGCCGAAATTCGGGCAACAGTCAAAAAATGATCCATTGGAGTTGGAATTTCAAGCGGCGGTCGGGTCGGACTCCAACGGTAAAAAAATCTAGCCGTTGGTCGGGCTTCAGGTTTGGGCAATTCGGGCCGGAGAAAAAAAAAAAAAAAAAAAACTCTCCGAAACAGTTACGTTTAACTTTTTTACTATAGTAAAAAGCTCTCATATAAAATTACATCACAACTCAAATTAAAAACTGAAATTAGCGAATTAAACGGGTCTTTAATATATTCAATTAAGATCAAATGCCTTGACATGTCAGCAATTCAAATTTATTGACAGAAGTAGACGGAATGAGTGTGTTGACATGTTTTATATAAATTAAAGGGTGTTTTGGCCTGTTTTGACACGTTAAATTTGGTGAGAGTTGAGTCGCGGAAAAAAAAAATTACAGTTGCAAACTGAAGAAATAAATTATTCGATGTGCATTTTATTACGTCGTATTTCAGAGAAGAATTATATTTATACAAAAAAAATGAATAAATAAAAACATGTTGTATAAATAAGATTGAGAATCAGAGAATGGTGGCATCTGGAATGACTGCACCACGGAGAAGAACCACTATTCCCTCTCTGATCACATAACACTTTGCTTCTCCTTCTTCCACCTTGTCTTTATTTATGATCTGCACTTACATTCCACCATTTTTATACCAGTTAATTAACAATCAAAGGTTATCATTCATTCATTCATTTATTCATTCATACTCTCTCTATAAAATATGATTGTGTAATATATATGTGTTTATAGGTTACCATAACGTTTTTGCCAATCCTTGCGTTCTTATCTACAATAGCTTTCCTTATTCGAGTATGCTGTCCTATTCCTATTGGAATCATGTCCCTTTGCTTCCTCTCCTCATCTCCGTTCCTCATAATCCTCTCAACTTCGACAATATCTTCTTCTGACTGTTCTTTCATTGATAAGCATCGAAACACGCAAAATAATGCCATATAAGATGGATAATAATCACAAGTCAAAAAATTAAGAATGAAAACTGTGGTAGACATCGTTTGTGAAATCAATACAATTAATTACCTCATAGATATCAGAGCCGAAGATGACCGAGTCCTCAATGACAACACCGTCTCCAATTCGTGTCCTCATGCCGATCACTGCACTTCTGACGCTGCACCTCTATTCTTGTATTGTAATTTTCGAACCACCACGCAGCCACATTTAGCCACATAATCAGAGGTAGCGTTGGATGTTGAGACGACAATGACATATAGTAGAGTATTATAGTATAAAGAGAATAGACACACGAAGAATTAAATAATGTGGTTGTTGCTTACACCGATGATGCAACCGTCCCCAATGAGGCTATCTGTGATAAGCGCGTCGCTTATGAGAGTCGGAGGCAGGCAGCGAGGCATTGTGTACACCGGCATTACTCTGTCGAAGAAGCTGCCACAGCACTAACATGCCTTGGTAGTTTACAGAAGCAAAAAATAAACCTGCTAATTAAAGCTGAAAACAACCCATCATCTTATTACTCACTTATATCCCATATTGTCCTCCTTTGTGGTTTCCATATTTGCTCTGTAGAATGCTCCAATGCTCCTCATGTCCTCCCAATATCCACCAAATACATACGCCTGAACCTGACCTCATTAATTTATCATAATTAACAAGTCAAACACAAAGTCATTTTCATCAGCCACATATAAGAATACTGAATACTATACCAGTGCTTTGCACTTTTTTTTTTTTTTTTCTTTTGTGGACAAAATTCAGAATTCAGACAGAGATGAGATAGAGAGATAGCGTTGCTACCTTCATCCCAACAGACACTGCTCCTGGAATCACTTCACTCGTGAAGTCATTTGCGTTCGGAAAGTAATCTTCCAAGAGCCTTTTCATTACATCCTTGTTGATCAGATAGATTCCCATGCTCGCCGAGCCATGAGAACCACAATTTCTAAATTTGCTTACCTAGTTTCAAGTGTTATTAATCATCAAACAAAAAAGGAACTCAATTTGTAGGTTGCTGCTGCTCTACACAAATGCAACTTACTGAAGCAATTGATTACCTCGGAGTTGAACCTAAACGCTAAAACTTTATTTGAAGAATCGAATTCAAGAAACCCAAAGCTGGGGTCATGAGTTGCGGCAGCAGCAGTTGAGGCTGCAATAGTAATGTCAGCGTTGGCGTTGCGGTGGGCACTGATGAGTTGTCGGTAGTCCATTCTGTAGAGATGGTGGCCTGGGAGTACCAGAAACTCCCTCACCGGATGCTCTTCCATTGCCCACAGGCATTTTCTAACGGCATCTGCACTTCCCTAAGAGAAAGGCACACGAGCACGATTAACAAAACATGGTGGAAAATTTTTACATATCATAAAATTAAAATATAACTTAGCAGTGATTTCAATTTCACGAAAGCCATAAGATTTTAACACATATGATTTATGGAATTCATGATAAAACTTTTCATGACGTGTACCGATACCTGAAACCATCTGTTGTGGTGATCAGGGCTCTGATAGGCAGCAATGACTTGGAGAAGGCCGTCACGCCGGAGACCCATTCCAGAGTAGGCTTTGCAAAGGTGGGAATTGAGAGAGGTGGAGTTGAATTGGGTGAGAGCATATATGTTATATATGTTGCTGTTTATGCAGTTGCTGACTACTGCGTCGATAAGTCTATAGTTTGCTGCGATAGGAATGGCGCCTTCTGATCTTCTCTTTGTCAACGGATAAAGCTGAGATTTTGAATCCGATCCATCCCCAAATATAATGGCTGCTACGCTCTGCCACACCACACAAATTGTAACATATAATTAGCTAAGCTACGCATGATCAACATAAGGTGATTAACAATATTCGATTTAGTGTGAGACAAAATTAGAATGAAGAGGAAAAGAACATTTAGTTAGGACAAGACCTGATCAGTAGTAGTGTGTTGCTGGTGTGAATTGGATTGGAACAAGCTTGAATGAAGCTTCTTGAATGGAAGTGTTTTGTTGCGGCGGACACGCTCTGATGTCAATAGTGTTAGATGACAGCTTGGAATTGTATGGGAGGGAAGGCAAAGCTGCGATGTCACCATGTCAATGCAGCTAGCTAGCTAGCTAGCTAAGCTTATTCTAATTAACTAAAAACCAGTTAGAATTAATTTGATCATATTCTTTTAATGATAGCTAGCTAGCTTTTTTTGTGACAATTTTGATAATGCTATTTTGTATGTATGTATAGACATATATACAGACACAGGCGTGTGTGAAGGGAGAAAGAGAGAGGGAATAAATTGTTTTCTTGGTCCCCATGGCTATCGAATCTTTGCTTCGTCGCATGAATATTATTTGATATTATTGAACACAGAGAGAGTGTGTGAGTGTTTTGGATCTGGTTTCTGATGAGGAAATCAAATGCCAAAAAGGTTTCGTTCGTACTTGATCCGTGTAGATGATTGTTTGTTCGTACTTGGTAGTAGTCGCACATGTTTAGTTGGTTTAAGCATTACGATGCAAAATGATTCTAATCTTGTAGTAAGTAGTGCGCTTTATTCTTGCCAGTACTTTGTTTCTCAAGAACTGAATTTTTATTTTTAAGCCCAATATTCCATATGTATTCGTAGTAGATAGAGTTTAAAAGGGATTGTCGGAGACCAACAATCGGCTTGATGAAGTGGAGTGGAGGTGAAGTTAGGCATATACTGCTTGCTCCTGACTTACTTATTAAACAATAATACTGCTCCCTCCCTCCCTATTGCAAATGTGCCGATTTATGTATGTACTGCAAATTCCTTAGACAACTCACACTATTGTTTAGAAATAGAGTGGGTGTTGATATATTTCTTAAAAAAATAACAAAAAAATTCAAAAAGCACTCTTTAATTGTTTAAGAAAAATATTGTGTTTATCGTTTATAATTCTAAAAGTATTTCTTGTGTTTTTAAACTGCCTCAAAATAATCTACTAGACTTTATAAATTAATTAAAATAGCCCTTTAACTGGTCAAAGTTTTATTTTATTCATATATTTGTTTAGCCAGTGATTATTTAATTTTTCAAAAAAAAAAAACTAAATAAAATCAAGAAAAAAATATTGGATTTCTTACTTTCTCTCACCGACCTAGATGACCTCTTTTGTTTTTATTTTTTTTGAAAAAATAAGAATTTATTTTATTTGAAATTGTTAGGTTTCCTCCCCTACTTTTAATTTATATAGTTATTAAAATTTAAGACAATTTTCAAATATTGATTATTAATAGCATTTATGCATTTTCAACAATTTAACCAGAGCTACCTTTTTTAACTCTTTTTTTTTTTGAAAATATTAAAGGATAATTTAGAAATAGTGTTTTCTTTTTTGAGGAAGAACATTGAATATTATTAAGTTAGGTCCGCAATGACAAAAAGTGATACAAATCTCAGAATAGCATCCAACGAAACAATATCTAACACAAAATGAAATGCAAAGGACAACATGAGGTCGATCATACCAATAATTGTGGGTGAAGATGGTTCTGAGAGTGCTTATGAAGTCGAGTCTATACAAGTCGAGAGATGTGAGATTTACTCCGGGATTTGTTATTTATAATTCAAATATACAGAATTTAAGCAATAAAATCATCCTGATTGATTATAATCTCCATCGAGGGAAATATCCCCGAATTAAATAGGGAAACTAACTAGGACGGTGAGAAATGATATAAACAAGGAATTGTAGGTCGATAAATCTCAAAGTCTGATTCTGAACATTAGTGTGTATAATTTCTACAAAGATAATGAATTGTCTCCTCCATACGGTGGACGTAGCTCTTGAATAAATGGCGTACCACTATAATTCTCATTGTGTTTTACTATTTGATTACTTTTAATCGTGTTTTAGATCATTAAATTTGCACAAACTGTTTTAAAATTTATTATATTTATGTTGATAAATTTTTACCGTCAACAATTGGCACTCTCCTGGGGATCAAACTCAGAATCTTTGGTTAGCGTGAAGAATTTCAGTTAGAAATCAATATGAAATTACGCCTTAAAAAAAACAAAAAGCAACGCTACGAATCAAGATAGCCAAACTGAAGATAACACTATGCACCAAGCCAACCAGGCTAATGGGGGAAGGGGTGAGAACCAATCCAATTTGAAAAATTGGCTTGCGAGTAGAAATGAAGAAGTTCCAGTTCCAAAAGCGCTCCAAAATTTTAAATTTAGTAAAATTTTCAAAATATTACAAATATAACAAAAATAACCTAATAATTATAATGATATAATCATTATTTTAATAATATAAAAATAAAATAAAATTTTTTCATTCTCGTAATATTTCAAAATTTTGATATTCAAATTTTGCTAGTATGTGTAAAACACCCAAAAAAAAAAAAAAAAAAAAAAGGAAAAAGAGAGGAAAAAGGTAATGAATGGGTTGGATCGGGCTGTGTTAATGGGCCTAAGGGAAAAAAAGTAATGAGGGATGTCGGAGAGTAGGGTTTACAACTACTAAGTGAGAAGACGAAGAGGAAGAGGAAGCTTCACCTCAAAAGACTAACAAGAGTGTGTGTTTTGCGTCTGTGAAATCAGAGGAAAAGGGAAGAGGGAAGATCATTGAAATCTAAGTGAAGATGGCGGTGAGAGAGCTGTCGCAGAAGGAGGCGGACATCCAGATGATGTTGGCGGCAGAAGTCCATCTGGGCACTAAGAACTGTGACTTCCAAATGGATCGCTACGTCTTCAAGCGCCGCAACGACGGTTCTAACTCCCCCACTCTTCACTCTGCGCTTCTTCTTCTTCATCTTCTTTTTTTTCCTCTCTCTTTTCCTTTTTTTTAATATTCAATTCATTATTTTTTCTCTCTGTGTTTAGGGTTTACTCAATCTACCCATTAATTTCGACCTCTATTTTTATGACCTGCCCATTCATTTGATTGATTTTTGCCTTTCTTTTTTCTTAATTTCTTTTATGATATGACGACTTGTATATATATATATATATATATATATATATATGCAATTGTTTGTTCGCTCGCTACTAGTTTACTTTTTGCTAAATAAATGCCTTGCTTAAAAATTGTTTCTTTTCTGTTTCGTCCACTTTTCTTTCTAGCTGAATTATAGATTAATGCTCCTTCTGAGTCGTAAATTCATTGATTAGATCCTTAAATAATAATAGTAGTAATGGTGATGGCCAGGAATCTACATAATAAACCTGGGTAAAACGTGGGAAAAGCTGCAGTTGGCAGCTAGAGTTATAGTTGCGATAGAGAATCCACAAGACATGATTGTCCAATCTGCCAGGCCTTACGGCCAGACAGCTGTCCTTAAGTTTGCTCAGTACACCGGTGCTCATGCTATTGCCGGCCGCCACACTCCCGGCACCTTCACCAACCAGCTCCAGACTTCCTTCAGCGAGCCCCGCCTCCTCATCCTTACCGACCCCAGGACCGATCACCAGCCCATCAAGGAAGCTTCCCTCGGAAACATCCCCACTATTGCTTTCTGCGACACCGACTCCCCCATGAGGTACGTCGACATTGGCATTGCTGCCAATAACAAGGGCAAGCACAGCATC